CGAGAGATTTGCCACGGGCTAAATATAAACCTTTTTCATGAGGCACTCGCAAAAAATAAGAAACTCAATAATTTTAAAATGATCATTAGGGCCAGCTGGTGACATGTGGTGGCAGCTGGATTGCACATGGTACAGTTCGAGTCCTGAACCTGGTGGCTTGAGAAACACTCCAGGTATGTGTGTGTGCTCAAAAATCCCAAAAGGGGGGAGAGATGGAGGAGAAAATATCGTGGCATGCTCATTCCCCATGGGAAGTATTTCCTTGCTGTCTCCCTCTCTTTGTCTCACTCCTTCTGGCAAGTATACAGGCAAATTGTTTTTTTAATAAAATTCATTTTACCAAAGTGTATTATTTGCCATGAATATATATACATACTTTATGGGCTTCAAGGAGACCATATATTTTATCAATAGATTATTAACTTGTTGGAAAAGTCATGATTTTTTTTTTCTGTATTTTCTACACAAAATTGTGTCGTGACTTTCCTGACAAACCAATATTTCCTATAAAGTCTCATTTCTCTATTGAGTAACAAAAAGACACCCTGTTCACCTGTATAGGAGGAACACAAGTGTCCCTTGTGTTGTGTGAATGGCTTTCCAATGAGAAATAGTTGAACAAAAGAAGGGCCATCATTTGTCTTAAGTAAGGTATTGATAAGGCTCAGGATTCTCTTTGACTAAAAAATAGTGGATGTTGGGCCAGCAGGTGGTATGGTGGATAGGGGCGCTGGATTCCCACATGGCCAACCCTGGTTCAAGTCCTGGACCTGGTGGCTTGCTTTCTCGCTTTCCCTTTCTCTCTCTCTCTCTGATAAAATTAAAAAATAACAATAACAAATGGAATTAAATAAATAATTCTTTAAAAAAAAATAGTGGATGTGCAATTCCAGTCTCTTTCTCTCTCTTTTTCTTTCCTTTAATTTTGCCAGATGGTATATGTGCTTCCTTGAGAGAGACAGAGTTTCCCCAAACATTATTCTCTGCTATTAGTGAAACATTGAATTTTTTGTTTTATAAAATGTTAAGTGAGAATTATAGGTACTAATGTGTTTTGCTTAAAATCACCTTTTAGCTCAAGTTTTTTCAAAGCAAACAGAAAGTTGAATTCTCTTGTGATGGTCAGAGAAACGAATCACAGGACTTTAATGACTTCTGACTTTCCCATGAGTTGTTAGAACTGGATCCCGCGAATTCTGAACCTCTGTATCACTGACTGCAGGACTGTTATGGAAAATATTACCATGTCCTCACTGGGTCAGCTCAGAAAGTTCGAACTGTGGCGTGGCATGACCAAACAAGCAAAAGAAAAGATTCTTTCTCTCAGTACAGGAAGATCGGGAAAGGCAGTGTATAGTGTTTGGTGGAGACGACCACAAGCCCTGTTGGCTTTTAGAATATCCTTTGTGGAAGGAAAGAAAGAAGGAAAACTTCCTCCTGGAAGAATAATGATGCCCTAAGGAAGAAACATCTGTTCCCTAGTCGAGTTCCATAGATTTAGGAAAGCAGCTGTCATCTGCTTTGAGTTAAAAGGTGGGCTTATTCCCACCTCCACACTTCCCTGACGAGTCACTAGGGCCTCTGCTCCCGCTCTGACTTTGGACAGCGGTGTAAACAGCAAGGGCCTTTATCTAAACATTTTAAACCCTCCTCTCTTCCTTTATTTCAGCCCACACAATAGCTGTGGAACTGACTTAACAGAAGGCATATTTTCTTAGGAATTTGGGTCTTGGGAAACAATTCTTAGTTGAGTGAAGAGGGTGACGTTTTTTGAAAGCTTTCTTTTCTTTTTTCTTTTTGCCATAGGGTGTGTGCGCTTGCCAGAGAGAAAGAAACCAAGAGAGGGAAAGTGAGAAATCACCTCCCAAGGGGAATGGCGAAGATGCAGTCCATTCTCCTCCTGGGATTTTTGGCACACGCGTACACACACACACATGCCCCCAGCCTGATTTTCAAACTACCAGGTCTGGGACTGGAACTGCAGTCAACTATGTAGAAGTCCAATGCCTTAACCACCACGCCACCCACTAGCCCCTTGTTAAAAGTTTGAACAAGTTCAGTGTACGTAAGTGAAACCCAAAGTCCCGGGTAGGCACTTTAAAGTGCAAGTACCCTCAAATGTGCGTTGACATCTTCAGCTTTAGATTGGGGTATGAGATTTTACCACTTTGACCTTTTTACTTCGTAACAGATGGAGATAAAGCAGAGTAGGGACAGCTCACATACTCGTTGGAAACCTAAGCAGTTTAGAAACCTGGTTCAGATTTTCTAAGTTTTCTTTCTTCTGCCCCAAACCAAGTAAACACTTCTTTTATATCAGATTAATCTCAACCTGATCTGGCTAAAGCTGTTAACAAAGTGCTGACAATGTAAATGGCTTAGTGTGGGGATGTGAGGGTTCCTGAGGTTTCTGACATCCACAGAGGCCCAGCAGGAAGTCTGAGTCTGAGGGCCCTGGTCTGTCTGAAGGAGCCAAGGCCCCTTGGCTTTGGACAGTTGGCTTGTGGGAACTAAAGCTCAGTACAGGCTGATTTTTCATAAGAAACCCTTTCTCCTTTTTCTTTCTTTTTAAATTAAATTATCCTAAATATTTTGGGCTAGCCATGCTGGCACAGCAACAACACAGTTTTATAGGAGGCAGAAGCCACATGAGAACATCCCATCTTTGAGGTCTCCCTGTGCCCATGATCTTGGCTGGGTAAGACTGGGGGTGGATCGTGGTATGAAGACCCTGTTGAAGGTGTTTGTCTTTCTCTTTCTTCTCTCTCTGTCTCTCCACCCTGTCTATCTTTCTCATGGGAGAAATAAATAAAAATTTAAAAGTTTTTCTAATTTTTAAATTTTTAAACAGTATAACTTTTATTAATGTTCAATACCAAATAAAACAGAATACATGTGAAAGGTCTACTAGGTTTCTTACTTGGGCTAATGGACCTCATCCTCCTAGGATTCTTTAGAACCTTGAAAACAGAACTTAATGACTCAACTAATAAAAGAGAGTGAGATTTTATTACCTCCCATTCATTTAATAAATATTCATATAGTAGATATTAAAGTCATCTATCAGTAGTCAGAACAGATATGAAAGTGAATGAAATCTAGCCTGGTAGACCCCAGTATTGTTTAGGAGACAGAAAGATAACATGAAATTAACTGATAGTAAATTTAATGTAATTAAACACGTTTTCCCCAGGTAGCATTGTACCTTAAGGGATTCATTAATTAAAGAAAATGGGTGCTTTGCAAGAGAAGCAGGATGTTCAAAGGAAACACTGAATGAAAAAGTACAAGGTACATGTGAAGAAACTATAGGTATTTACTCTGACTTAATAATTAGAAAATCAAAACCAACGATATCAGTTAACGGAGTCCTTTCCAAAAAACACAACCAGCTTCCTGCCCATCCCAGACCTACTGAATCAGAATCTTCAAGTGAGTTCTATTTAATTGCCAGAGAGCATGTGCACTGCCAGAGAGAGACAGAGAGACAGAGGGAGATGGAGAAAGCACCCACCC